AGAAGAAGAAGAAGAAGAAGAAGAAGAAGAAGAAGAAGAAGAAGAAGAAGAAAGAAGAAAAAGAGGTAGAAAAAGAATAAAATGAAGAAGAAGAAGAAAAAGATGATGTTAATGATGATAATGATGATGATGATGATGATGAAAAAGAAGAAGAAGAAGAAGAAGAAGAAGAAGAAGAAGAAGAAGAAGAAGAAGAAGAAGAAGAAGAAGAAGAAGAAGAAGAAGAAGAAGAAGAGGAACATGATGCTGATGAAAAAGAAGAAGAATAAGAAGATAAAGTGAAAACCGTCTACTTTTCATATAGTTCCCTAAGCCCTCCATAGCTAACATTAGAATATAAAAATCATAAACTAACAAGTCGTTATAATCAAATAAACAGCCGTAAACTAACAAAAAATGTGTCCTCCAGACTAAAGATAATGAGCCCAGGTATCTCAGAGGTAACACCCTGGGACTGTAACCTCCAGGTTCTGATAACAGGAGTTTTAAGTGGGCTTGTTCTACCTGAGGTCGCAGGCGTGTATGTGTGTTTGTTCAAGACTGTGTCGTGAGATAGTCAGAAGACACAAGCCTGGGACAGCAGCTCAGAGTCTGTAGTCTGATACATCAAACTGGTTTGCATTCATAAATGCAGACAAGAGGTAGTTAGGTGGGTGGATTTGTGTGTGGGTGGGTAGTAAGGTGGGTAGACAGGTAGCACACACACAAATGTCCACCTACGCAGGCACTCACTCCTCACTCACTTACACACAAATATGCGTACGCACATCCATCCATACATACATACACATACATAATACATACATACATACACACAAATACACATATGCATACGTAAAGACAGACAGACAGACAGACAGACAGACAGACAGACAGACAGACAGACAGACAGACAGACAGACAGACAGACAGACAGACAGACAGACAGACAGACAGACAAACAGACAGACAGACAGGCAGGCAGGCAGGCAGGCAGCTAGATAGATAGATAGATAGATAGATAGATAGATAGATAGATAGACAGACAGACAGACAGACAGACAGACAGACAGACAGACAGCCAGCCAGCCAGCCAGCCAGCCAGCCAGCCAGCCAGCCAGCCAGCCAGACAGACAGACAGACAGACAGACAGACAGACAGACAGACAGACAGACAGACAGACAGACAGACAGACAGACAGACAGACAGACAGACAGACAGACAGACAGACAGACAGACAGACAGACAGATAGATAGATAGATAGATAGATAGATAGATAGATAGATAGATAGATAGATAGATAGATAGATAGATAGATAGATAGATAGATAGATAGATAGATAGATAGATAGATAGATAGATAGATAGATAGATAGATAGATAGATAGATAGATAGATAGATAGATAGATAGATAGATAGATAGATAGATAGATAGATAGATAGATAGATAGATAGATAGATAGATAGATAGATAGATCAGTAGGTGGGTAGGTAGACAGTGGCTATACGCTTCATAACATTTCCTTCCCTTAGATCTTCTTTTGCGGTATAGACACTTAACCTGTAATTCCTGAACAAGACGTATCTCTAGAGGCTGCCCTAATGTCCTACCCTATTGAATTCATCCAGAAAAATCTGTTCCAGTTATGCTAATAACAGGTTTTCTCTTATCCAGTGACGGCGCCTTTCTCTCACCTCTTTTTTCACCTGAATTATTTTGTTCGCCTCTTAAGCTGTACATTGGTCATACAATATCAGTCATTCCTTTCTGTGCAGACACAGTTGAAGCATGTTTGTAGTTGATTACTCATTGCTTTAGTCGCTTCCCGTGTCTCTGATCAATACTTCAGTACTGATTTCATGGCAGAGTTATACAACATTTCATCATCATCATCCCCAAATGCATTATTGACTGTCGTGGGCGATCAAGCCTCTCCACAGTATACGTTCCGCAACTTGGTTTATCTGTTCTTGTGCTGACACCCCTCCATTCCATGACAAAAAGCTGCCAGGAATCGTCTCGCGCTGTCTTCCACTGCCCCTCCTTCCAAATATCTTTCCAGTTGTCTCAGCATGTTCCAGTTTCACTCTTCTCATAACCTGACCAAACAATGGTGACATGTCTCTTTCTGGTGTATGTGAAAAGTTGTTGTCGAGCACTCGCCTCGTTCAAATCATCTGGGTCGCTCTTTTTGGCTGTCCAATGAACTCGAAAGATTTTTTTTTTCTGTAAAACCACATATCCGAGGTTTCAGAAATTATTTATAACTGTAAGTATAATTCTTCTTTTGCTCCTTGTCCCCCAGCGGAGCATAGGCCCTCAACCAACCCACGCGTTCTTCTGTCCATTGCCATCGAATGCACTTCACCCCATACCGTGTCCATCTTGTTAACTTCAGTTTCTATCTCCCTTCTCTGTGTGTTTTTTCTGCCTCTCTTCTTTTTACCATGCGGGTTAGACAGTTTTCTTTCATTTCAGACTTTACAGGACGTTGCTGAGCCAACAACAGCATCTTGTGGCTGTTCGTGATTTCACAAAGCAGATTTACATTTAGTACTATGAAATTGTCGGCGCCTATGGCTTATGCGTTGCGAACGAGCTTCGTAATGCCAGGGTGCCGGGTTCGATCCCAGATGCAGGCCTTGTGCCTTGTATTGGTTTCGACAGTGGTACTGGAAAGCCAACTGTGTCCAGAAAAGCAATGGCAAACTACTGGACGTAAATGTGGCTACCAAAACCACAACAGCAAAAAACATATGCTGAGGTTGGTTCTGCAATGTCCCGTAAAGGATACGCAATTAACTAACTATAACACTGTACTATGACCGAACTGTCGGCTTTTGGTGCCGCTATCAAAGCCAATGCAACGCGATCTGTAGCCAAATCGCAGGCAACTGCGACCAACACCTTGGAATTATAAAGCCCGTTCGCAACGCCACACGCGTCGACACAACGAGTACGCGGGTACCCGGACTACAATGTGGGGGTACCCGGATGACAATGTGGGGGTACCCGGACTACAATGTGGGGGTACCCGGACTACAATGTGAATGACTTGTGGAATTTTGACCCAAGTTGAACAGCTGGTCCCCTACACCTCTCGTCGGCCCAAACAACACAAGTTGTAACAAATGAGCTGACTGAAAGGCAGCTCCCAGTCATATCTGTAAGTCAAACTAGGGCTAGTACTGTCATATCTTTGCCTACATGTTGTTTTTATTGACTGACATGCTGTCTTGTGTAAACAGTTCTTGACGTTTTATTGTAGTTGAACGTTATATAATCAAGTATGTTTTACAGTTAGCTGTTGTACAGAAAGACAGGGGGGGGGGGGTGGGAGGGGTGGGAGGGGAGAGGGGGAGAAGAAGAAGAAGATAAAGCTGAGTAACATTAGAAAAGGGAATGAGAGGAAGCTAAGAAGATATGAAGATTTCAAAGCTAATGAGGGTTATGATGTAGTCTACAAAGCAGAACAGGAAGATAAAAAAGAAGAAGAACTAGAAGATTGGGGAGAATGGTGAATAAAGAAATTTAAAATAAAAAAGGAAGACGAAGAAGAAGAAGATGATGAAGAAGAAAGAAGAAGAAGAAGAAGAAGAAGAAGAAGAAGAAGAAGAAGAAGAAGAAGAAGAAGAAGAAGAAGAAGAAGAAGAAGAAGAAGAAGAAGAAGAAGAAGAAGAAGAAGAAGAAGAAGAAGAAGAAGAAGAAGAAGAAGAAGAAGAAGAAAGTGTGATAAAAAGGAATAAAAACAGAAGGAGTATAAAAGGAAGAGGAAGAAGAAGAAGAAGGGGGAGAAGGAGGAGGTCCTAAATTTGAGAGACCGTTAAAATAATAATCAGAAACTGGTGGGTGAATAAAGCAACAGACAGTTACGACGTAAATATATAAGTGTGACAAATGCGGAAATTCTACTTTCGTTTGTATCAACAGGGCGTCCCAAACATTAACCCTTCGTTTGTGTAAACCCGTTTCATTACATTTCGACGTTGTATGGTGCTAATTCTCTGGCAATCCAACCTTTTTATCCCTCCCACATACACAGAGAAAACACTTCACTAACATTGCCTATGTAAATTTGTATTTGGTCTACTGTCAGCTAACTTTACCAGGCATATTTACATTTGCAATCTATGTTTAGCGATAAAACCAAGCCAAACGTTTACGGCTTACCTTGCCGCTTTGTCTTTATAGCTTTTTAAAAAATTGATGATTTTTTTGTTGTTGTTGTATCTTTAAAGTAGTAGATTGTAATTCGCATTTTCAATTGTGTTTGTATATCTTACAAAGGTAGTCTGGGTTTAATTGTTGGCTACAGAGTGTTTATTCTACCGAGCACTACTGCTGTGTGGTTGGCGTATGTGGCTGATGGGCAATGAAAGCATTTGTTAAAATTTCGATGTATCGGGTTGATTTCAAAAGTGAGCTTTAAAACTGTTCCCTTTCCACATTTAAATAACGCACAGTATTATTGCTTGGCAGTAACGTATGCAATCTATAAAGACAGTGATATATTTCTTGTTGTTGTTGTTGTTGTTCTTCTTCTTCTCGCCTTCTGCTTCTTCTTCTTCTGCTGCTGCTGCTTCTGTTGCGACTACCGGGGCCGTGCGATAGATTTTCTCAGTATGATGCATGTCTTTGAAATAGCGTCTCTAAAATGTAATTTTTTTTTTTGTCTTTAAAAAAAAATCTGCAGCTTTTTGTCTAGTCTTACATAATTGAAAGGTATGAATAGGTCTATTCTTACCTCTCAGACAGAAATACTCAGAACTCGAAGGTAAGCCCTAATTTGTCTAGTCTTACAAACTTGAAGGTAAGCCCTAATTTGTCTAGTCTTACAAACTTGTTGATATGCATTAGGTCTATTCTTGTCCCCACCACTCTATTGGAGCCCTGGAACCCACAGGGGATAATAAACGGTACGACTGGTTAAGGATAAAATTTCCTTGACAAACTCAATCTTCCTTGTAGGCAGTACGGGCACAGTGATTGCGGGAGCACATAGAGAGACACTGGCTTACCTGGAAGAGAATGAAGAAGACCGCTTTGGCCAGGCTGATTTTTCTAGCTGCCAGCATGGCAACTGTTACCGCGGGATTGATGTGACCTCCGGAAACATGAGCTATGGCCCAAACAATGGTGCCAACCGTCAGCCCGAAGCACAGGGCGATCTGGACTATGGGTGAGGTTGTGTTGTCGCTGCCACGGAGGTTGATACAAGAGCCACAGCCGACCAGAGTCAGCAGCAAAGTCCCAACGAACTCCGCAATGATGCCTTTCCACAGCCGTAAGCTGGAGATGTCTTCAAAACTTGTTGCCATCCTTGGAGGAGGTGGTGGAGATGGTTGGGGTCGTTTCTTTACGACGTGAGTGTTTGGAAGACGCTGTTTATATTCCGGCTCGACGTCGAATCGGGAATACGGTTGTTGTCTGCTGTCTAGAGTGTCGATGAGCTCTTGTCTTTGGTGGTTTTTAGTTTCTGCAGTCACGGATGTGAAGTACCTGGGAGAACGAGACTGTTGAGGTGTCGATGACGCTGATGTCGGCTCGAAGCTGGAATCAATCCTCGAGGATGCCGGCGAATCCAGGATCAGTCCCCGTTTGTCAGGTTCTAAGGACGGAGAAAACAACGACCGTGGACCTGGCGATGACATACCACGTGATACCAATCTACCAATCTGCGGAGGTCAGATTGCCTGAAGTCAAATCTATATTAGACAAGAGCAAGAAAGGTCAAAAACTGGTTATCTTTCGCTTTAGATTTGAAACTTGTAACCTAAATAATTCGAATACAACAGCCAGTGGGTAACTGTGCACACTTACTAGGCTTTATCTAGCTACAGATTGATTGTGATCTTGGGTAGTAAAGGACGTAGAGAGGGGAGAGAGTCATCGGTGCGCCCTTATCTGTCATAGTTACATGGCGTCTTACCGGGAACGACAAGTCGGCCTTTGACACAGATTGAGTTGTGATCATTGTGACACTACTGGTCGACCATAGATGTAAGCATAGGCATGGTGAAATAGGTCAGCTGTTCTCAAAATGACACCTGCTAGTTATAAGTAAGTAAAAGTAAAGTAAAGATCACTTTTCACGCCTTAGGCGCATTGGGTATATGGGAAGAGCGTCTCATATTTTATTTTTGCAGACCAATCGGCACTGGATGGGTAATGTGGTCAGCATTACGCCGGCCGTCTTTACTTCCCCAGGACAGCCATCCTGGTACCCATTTTAGACTGGATCGACTTGCGACGCCCCATACCATGATAAAAATCCACGCAGCCAGCAGTGGGTTTCGATCGCGGTACGTTGGATTACGAGTCGGACTCGCAACGCCTAGGCCACGGCCGCCGCCCTGCTAGATATAGTCATACCTTACTAGTCCTATGTTAGCGTCCGTGGTCTGGCGTCTAGACAAAGGTCGTGGGTTCGAATCCAAAACGAATCCGACAACCCCTACCCCCTTCCCCGAATGACTTTCGCTGCCAGGTCGACTTAGCCTTAAATAGTTACCAGGTGAAGTCATCGGAAGTAAAGGCGTAAAGAGCAAATCACCCACCGACTGGTCTATAAAATATGGGTCTAGAACTATTTGCTAGGTTCGTTTGAAGGCATGGAAAAGAGTCCTTCACTTGTACCAGTCTTATGTGTGCACACATATCTAAGTCAGTGGGCATATAGGGCTAGACTCATATTTATATAGACCAAATGATGGGGTCAACATCATGTCGGTCGCCTTGACTTCCCAGGAGTTTATCTAGAACCCATTTAAGGCCAAGATCACGTTTATAAAATAAAATTCCGGTTCTTTGCGGATTTAAACACACAGCCTTCAGATCCGCTGGCGAGCCTCTAGCCAGTATACCACGGTGGATTCACTGATACCGTGTTGCCCATAAAAAGACTGGGTCTTCTAAAAGGTCGTGCTCCAAAACCCACCTTGGGTCTTATTTTTAGAGAATTTTTCTTTCTCATGTACATATATCTAGATTTTTTTTCTTCTTTGCGTTCACCAGCTGTAAATTCCGACAGGAGGTTCTGGTTGTTCGTCCACCTCTAGAATTCAGTATACTTTTCAGAAACAGGACGTTGCATGCACATCCGTTTTACAGTTCTGTATTATGTGTATGCAGATTGTCAGTTCCTTTTGTCTCAGGCAGATGCTTTCCAACTTTGAAGGAACCTCCCAAATAGTCGACTCTCACGATATGCTTGCTGGGTTGACAGTGCGTCTGTTTTACGCACACGAGAGCTATCTACATTAACACGATTATGACAGATGGATTGCGACAGTGGCACGGAGGGATATCATCGGTGGAAATGATCTAGGGGACCAGGATGGATTGCGACAGTGGCACAGAGGGATATCATCGGTGGAACTGATCTAGAGGACCAGGATGGATTGCGACAGTGGCATGGAGGGCTATCATGGGTGGAAGTGATCTAGAGGACCCGGATGGATTGCGACAGTGGCACGGAGGGATATCATCGGTGGAAGTGATCTAGAGGACCAGGATGGATTGCGACAGTGGCACGGAGGGATATCATCGGTGGAAGTGATCTAGAGGACCAGGATGGATTGCGACAGTGGCACGGAGGGATATCATCGGTGGAACTGATCTAGGGGACCAGGATGGATTGCGACAGTGGCACGGAGGGCTATCATCGGTGGAACTGATCTGGAGGACCAGGATGGATTGCGACAGTGGCACGGAGGGATATCATCGGTGGAAGTGATCTAGAGGACCAGGATGGATTGCGACAGTGGCATGGAGGGCTATCATCGGTGGAACTGATCTAGATGTCCAGGGATCGAGATTTGCGGAGAGAGGCAGAGCCAGATGAGATACTCCAGGGTAATGTAGGTCACTCTGTAAACTTTAGCTTTAACCTGATCCTAAAGCACTGATGTGGTAGTTTTCCCTTACCTTTCACGTACATTACATAAAAGCTTTCACCTGGTCCTAAAACACTGCTGTGATAGTTTCTCCTTACCTTTCTCGTTCATTGTATAAAAGCTTTAACGTGGTTACAAGACACTGTTGTGCTAGTTTTCCCTTACCTTTCTCGTTCTTTATAAAAAAAACCTTTAACCTGGTCCTAAAACACTGATGTGGTAGTTTCCCCTTACCTTTCTCGTTCATTGTATAAAAGCTTTAAAGTGGTCCTAAAACAATGATGTGGGGGTTTTCTCTTACCTTTCTCGTTCATTATATAAAAGCTTTTAAAAAAATATTGTAGCATATGAATAGGTTACACCCCAGGGCTGGATTTCTACTAAGCTGCATAAAGCCACAAGGCCCCTACCCATTTTTTGTAATGACAACAGCTAATCTCATAAAACTTTAAAATATATACGCCTTTTAAATATATGGATGATGAAAAAATATTGCCGTTTCATTTTTAGTAAAAGAAGTAACAAAGAATGTGTCCGCAAAATCACATGAATTATGTTATATAATTCTCTTAAAGGGTGTGTGAAAGAAATCTGCATTTGTGAAAACAAAAAGAATTCTGTTGAGGCCCCTGCAAGCTAAGCTGTATTTTAGTTAAGTTATGCGTAAATGCAACACTGTTTCACCGCCTCACTGATAACAAAACGGATAACAGAACGCTGCTTCTCTTTGGTGCGTGTCAAAAGTGGGGCGGCCATTTGTAGTCATTATGACGTTACAGTGTTCGTTTGCATTGTGGTTTCACATGCTTAACAATCTTGACATCCTTAACAACAATACTGGCGGGTTGCAAGACAATAGTGTTGTTATTGTAATTTCAATGCCGCTTTCAGGGTTTGCATTTGAAGCGGCACCCTCGGTCACTGCCTGTGTTTAAGATGTGTTCACAGAACACGTGCCCGCAGACTGTGGGAGTCACTGTGGATTATCTGCTTAGTAACCGAAGCACATGGACGGAGACGTACAGCCGCTGCATTGTTTGCCATGAACTCGTGTCCCTGGTCGAGATTTCACATTTCAAAAATGACATGGTAAAAAATTCACAAGACAAGCTGGTGACTTTTGTAGATTTTCTCTATGAGAAACAAAAGTGACATTTCTAATATTTTATTGTATGGAAGCCCAAACTGCATTTGTTCAGAAATTATTTGTAGACAGTGCAAATTCAGCAATATCTTCTTCTACTTTTTCACCTTAATCTTCTTCTTCTTTTTTTTCTTTTTTCTTCTTTTTTTTCTTCTTCTTCTTCTTCTTCTTCTTCTTCTCTTCTTCTTCTTCTTCTTCTTCTTCTTCTTCTTCTTCTTCTTCTTCTTCTTCTTCCTCTTCTTCTTCTTCTATCTTCTTCTTCTTCTTTTCCCCTTCTTCTTCTTCTTTTTCCCCTTCTTCTTCTTCTTCTTTTCCCCTTCTTCTTCTTCTTTTTTCCCTTCTTCTTCTTCTTTTCTTCTTCTTCTTCATCTATCTTCTTTCCTTTCTTCTTCTTATTCTCCTTCTTTTTCTTCTTCATCTATCTCCTCCTCCTCCTTTTCTTCTTCTTCATCTTTCTTTTTTTTCATCTATCTTCTTCTCCTCCTCCTCCTTCTTCTTCTTCATCTATCTTCTTCTTCTTCTTAGTGTTGACATGCTGTAAATTCCGTCGGAAAGTTCTGGCGGTTCCTCCACTTCTTGGCCTTGCTCTAGTTCCAAAACTTGGGCTTTGCGCGCACAGTCATTTCACAGATCTGGCTTTTTGTAGGCAGACTGTTGATGCAGTTCCTGAGGATGCGACAAGGCAAGCGCCGTTATCGTGTCAACTCTTCGTTGGCTACTGAAGATGGGGACAGAGCACTTGTGGGAATATCCTGAATGCAGTGATGTTAATTCTTGATTCATTCATTTTATGCAATTTCTTACTGTTTTTTTTTTCAGCTGGATTTTTAACCCGTACAATCTAGATATTTCTAGATATTGTTTCCTTCGTTTCTCTATGTTTCCTTTCAAAGAAAAGTGGCAACTATGCCAGTGAATGCTTATCTGGAAGGCAGCGGGTCTATTCTTGTTTTGACATGTGTGTGGGTGTGTGCCTGTGTCTGTATGTCTGTGTATCTGTGTGTAAATGTGTCTATCTGTATATATGTATGTATGTGAGTGTGTATGTATGTATTATGTATGTACGTAAGAGTGTATATATCATTAAATGATGGGTGGGGTTGCGTATGTGCAAAAATGAGCATTTTAGTATGTAGACATAACCTGCTTTATTGATGACATACAGCTGCTGTGTGAAAGATGGCTGTTTAGGAAGTGCCGAAGGTAAGACGGGCCTGCGTGCCCAATTTGTGACCCTGTGAAAAGCAAGTTCGTTCGTGAAGCCACGGAACCCACACGGTGAGCTTAGTAAAATAACTGGCCAGGTGTTTCTACACTTTGCACGCCAGATAATACCACGCCTCGCATGTTGCACCTGGATATTTGCAGGTCACGCATGTTGCGTTGGTGGGGATGGAAGAGCTGAACGCTTCACATCCGACACTTTCACCTCTCAAGTTCACCCTCGATCCGGGTACACAGATGCGAACCTAATGATCCGAGGTATTTGTATTTCCGGGTGAAATTTGAACAACCGACAATATGAAAGAAAAGCCCAGGAGATGAGAGAAAAGCCGATAGCTTTGAACAATCACTTGACACACGCGTTGTTGATCTTGTATTATGTTCATGT